AGGGGATTTGTTCAATGCTGCTATCACTCTCGCACCTTGCAGTGTGCACGTGGCCCTTTTTAGACCCTCTCTTCTCTTCAAGACCGCTCAGTTCTTCAGTCATTCCGCAAGCATCTCACATTCCCTTTCTCTCTTTTCCTCTCTCTCTCTTTCTCTCATTTCCCTTATCATTACACTGTCAGTCGGATGTGCGGTGTTTGGTGCAGCAGCTGTTTTCTGTCACCAGGCCTATTAATAGGAGTCACAGCCTTCACAGGCACTTTAGTTTATTGTGTCAGTGAAGGAGCAACGACTCAATGAGTTACTAGCGTTTAGGTGAGAACCCAAAACAGTTTCTTGGCCTTGCAGCAGTGTTACGAATGACTAGTCTCTAGAGCTGAAATCTACAGTATAATGGTTGCATGTATGTCATGCACTAATAATTATTGGATCATGTTTATGTTGCTTACTAAAAAAGAAATTCTCCTGACTATAATCAGTCTTTCAAAGGCTGCTCTGCACCTGTTTCATACAGCGAATGTGTGTGGGTTTCATTCAAAGGAAACCTTCAAGAATGTAACTGCCCCTTTAAGACTGCCTGTGTCTCGTCTCACCTTATTTGGACATACATCCTGTCAGGTGACAAGAGTGCAGTCACATGGGCTGCTATGAGAGGGCACAGAAATTCAAGAAATTTTCTATAGATACATTCGATGTGAGAGAATATGTGGGGGTTGTGAGGCCAGCTGGGGGGGGGGGGGGGGGGGGGTTGTTATATAATGTGTCAATGCATAAACTGACAATGAGGCTGTCAGATATGAGATATGCTGTGTGTAATCAAGTAGAATCCTTTTTGTAAAATCATCACACAATCATTCTCATTTCATAAATCAACAAAAGGCTTTCTTCCAATTTCTCAAGAGTAGGTTAGGTTGGTTTTCGTTCTCTAGGGAAGATGTGCCAATTCACTGAAACATGCAGTATAGAATACTATATATAATAATTGCCAAGAAATATTTTTAAACTAAGCATACTCTAAATCTAAATCTAAAGGAATCTAAATCATCAAGCAGTACACCAAAAGAAAATAAATTAAAACGCCAGACTATGTAAATGTTTGTTGAGAGAATAATGTTAAAAAATCAAATTACTCTTGCATTTCAATGATCGCAATACATTTACAGGAACTGGTTTCTCAGCAGCGGCAGAATTTTACTTTGCTCCGGTTAGTAGTACTTCGCCGAAGAGTAAACACAGAACCGAAGCGCACTACAGTAGGAAATACCTGCAATACCGCTCTCTACCTCTCTCTCTCACTACCTTTCTCGGTTGCCTAGGCAACTACATATCACTCCGCCGCTGCTGTAGACTGTGCTAATAAATACAGGGAACAAAGTATAATTATTGCAATGTAATGAAAGGGTAGTTTGATTTCTAACATTATTCTCTCAACAGACATTTACATCGATAGTCTGGCGTTATAATTTATTTGCTTTTGGTGTACTGTGGAGTGGGTAAAACTTTTTTATTGGTAGGCTAGCAGTTACCGTTGACTCGTGCTAGCCTAGCACTGGCGAACTGTGCAACAGGAACGACTGGATGAAAACTAACTTGGAAATGAGGCCCGATGTCCAAAAGTCTCTCTTTTTTTTTTAACCATCCTTCTGTAGTTCTGTTCTTCATTTAGCCTTGGAGGATTCATCTGTCTGCCATCACTATTCTTTCTCAATGCGGTCATTTGCAAAAGAGAATATGGCTGCAGATAGAAATTAATACAGTTTTAAATGCATATTTCAGCCATAGTAAAACATGCTGTACCAGCTTTAAATAATTATTGTAGCAAGAATGTCTTAGATGACATTTAAGAGTCGCCTAAATGTTACTCACAACACATGGCCTCTTTACATGCATTTAACTAAGCATTTTTGGCAGTGGTTGTGGTTTAATGTTCTGATCATTCTTTATGGTGAGTGTACTGATATTCTAGCTAATATTGACTTGGCCATTGATTGGCTCTGACTGTTGTTTTTTTTTTTTTTTAAAGATTTGATATTATGTAATTCTTTAAGGAGCAGCATTTTCCCCTAGATGTACTAGAAACGCCCACATGCACTCACACTCTGGAAGCTACTGACACAAACACATGGCATAATGCAAGCATGCAATGCATATACGTACAGTCTTGGCCAGCTATGTTACAAAATTCCTCTATGGAGACCATGGAAGTCTTCATCCTATATAAGAACGTGCAGTATAGACAATGGGAGCAGAGGGAACAGGGGTGGTCACAACATGTGCCCAGTCATGTGTGCTGTGATGAATATGCTTGCATAGCCTTTTTCCAGCCACCAAGCATGCACCCTTACGCTTCCCATTGGCTTTGGCAAAATTTGTGTGCGTTTCTCAGATCATTCTGGTATCGGATTGGCCTTCCTCCTGGAAATCAGAAAGTCTATTAACCACAATAGTATATTCATGGTAATGATGTGAGTTACCGTTGCATATAATTAAGTATGGCTGAGCCTGCTGTTTTTGCCTACTGGTGGGGTCGGAATAGAATAGTGTGCAGTGTTTATTAGAACTGACTCGCATTCACACGTGCATAAACAGAGAAACACACAAACACAAATGTCTATGTGTGCATATAGTCACATTACAAAAGTTGGCTTCTAATGTTCATACTCGAGCACATTTGATGGCATAAAAGGCCTCTATTTTGATTCAGCTATGAAACTGTGTAATTTCAGAAATCCTTTTAAAACCCTGAAACGGTGGATCACCTGGGTAACTTGTAATCAAATTTAGAAAATGTAATGCTGCCTTTAGGAATGCAGATCTTCATTTCTATACATTAGGAAACAATTAAAACATTCTATAGCTACCAAGGTTTTCAATAAGCAAATTTCTAAAAATGGTGCAGTTAATTTGATGAATGAATTTATGGATTTATTAAGAGCAAAACTAACAGGAAATGTCACCAAAAACCAAGATCTCTTTCAAGTAAACTTTGTTCACTCAGCACTGGCAGCCAAATTTGCAATGCCTCTGGACAGCTATTTCAGCATCCATCACCAAGCCTTATCTACTTGAATGGGGAAATGCTGAAATCTCAAAAACTGGTTCCCACACTCGTATTTAAATAACAACAAGAAAAACTGACATGAGTTGTCAGTTTGTTGTTGTTGGATAAAGGGTGTTTAATATGCGTTTAAAGAAATAGCTTATATTTTGCTTCTCAGGACACTGACTGTTCTATAGTAACCAGAGCTTAACTCTGCAGCTGCAGTGATGCTTTGACTTTACCGATTGGCGATTGGGTCTTTTATTTATAAAGTGGGGATTATGTTGCACACTGTTTCCCATTCATAAGAACAATGAGTGAACCATCTTTGAAATTATGAATTCATTTTAATTAATTGTTTTATCCTTTGAAGTAAAATCTGCTTCTGTCTTTGATGATGCACTATTTCTTGGAGACACTTTTTTCATAGCTAGTTTGTTGTGTACAAGGCTGGGCATACACTGTAAATTTAATCGGAATTCTGACTCGTGCGAAATTTTGGTCGTCCTCGAGAGAGTATCGCACTGTTGAAGCAGTGCTACGAGCCGATTGTCCAAAAACTTAGTGTTTTTTTCCCTCACTGCACCTGTTTGAAAACAGAAGTTGAACCATTTTATCAAGAAAGAAAGTGTAATGAGGGAGATCTATAAGTTCTACATGAAAGACTAGAGAGAATAAAACTGTAACAATTAACCATTTATTAACAGCCCAGCAAGCAATATTATGATATAGAGTTCTATAGGCCCCGTCCATAGCTCGCAATCTGAGAGGACGGGCTCTGCATTTCCTGCCTGAAGACGAAGGCAGGGGCGCAGCCGACCTCCGTGAGGTACGGGAAGGGACCATTCTGGTGGTGGTGGGGAGGATGGAGGGTAACAATTATTGCGAATTAATTGTAAAATGAATTTTAATAATAAAATTAGGACTACACTACACTAATAATAATAATAATAACAATTTAATAGGCCTACATAAATTGGAAATGCTAAATCCTCTTCATATAGATAGCTGATGATTTTTACAATATCTCTGGATACATGATATCATGTTCCATCGGCACAACCCTGCACGGGGGTTTATCGGTCATATTTCACGTATAGTGTGAGCAGACAAGTCCCAGCTCGACGATCGGACTGTATAGTGTAGTGCGAGCTCATAAATCATGAGCTTTGACTTTACATCGCATGTGATTTACTCGCACATGAGTTTGTAACCTTGCTGAAATCGCATAGTGTATTCCCGCCTTATGTTGCGTGGTTTAGTTAATCCTACAGTGACTTGACAAATGAACTTGATACACAAATGGATTAAAACATGTCTTCCGTCAGCCGCTTATGTACAATAGCCCGTCTGCGGTATAAACCCTTGAATCAGTATCCAGTCTTTCGTACAGTAAAACCGTAGAGCTGAATAATGTGCTCTCTGCATCTCAATACGGGCTCTGTGTGCTGGCTGATTTTCGAGTGCGCTGGCCCTTTAAGAGCAGTCACTTAAGCAGTCAGTCCTGTTTTGGTGCTGCTGCTGATGGCTGTGCTGTGAGTTGATTGGCTGTGGCTGTCAGGGCTGAGGTGCTGGAGGGATGCTGCTACTCTCTCTCTCACTCTCGCTCTCTCTCTCTCTCTCTCCCTCGCTTGCTTGCATCCCTTCGTATAATCCACATCTAGGGCAAGCAGGCTGAGAGTCAATCCAGCGCTCAGCTCCTCTCTGCAGGCTGGGAAAAGAGTGAGAGAAAGAAGGCAAGAAAACGCTTCCCAAAACAGGAGGAAACGCAGAAGGAAGAAAACTGGCAAGCAGAGACTTACAAAGGAAGATTTGATCACGGATATCATTTATATATATAGAAATTGTTTATATATATATATATAAATATATTTGTACACACGCATATAAATATTTATAGAATTCTATATGTATACATATATACCTGTATATAACTGTATTTGTGCTTGTCTGTTTATATTGATATTTTTATATGTATTTGTGTGTGTGTGTAAATATATACATATATAAACAAATGAATAGATATCTATGAATTTATATACATATCACTGTGAACCAACAGAAGCAGGAAGAAAACTCGACCATCGGGGCTGGTCTCTGATTCCGAGATCATACACACTATTTTTAGCATTATTTTTTGCATCTTTTGCATCGGCCGGAGGAAGACTACCAATCTTTTTTCTATTTTTCATCTCCCTGTTGCTACCTCCTCATCTCTTTTTCTGGATCAGGAGGAACAAAGAGGAGGATAACAGGGTTTGTTAAGATTCCTGGCATTTGTGCTACCGTGAGCCGAGTGGCACTGCACGCGGTATTTGATCTGAGCAGGCGGCAGCAGCAGCAGCAGCAGTGAGACAGAAAGAGACAGAGAGCGCAGCACCGTGTGAACTAGCCAGCATGCACAAACATCATCACTGCTGCAAGTGCCCAGAATGCTATGAAGTGACCCGCATGGCCGCTCTGCGCAGGATGGATGCCCCGGCATATGGAGACTGGCAGCCCGAACCCTATGGATACCCAGCCGGCTATGGGGGCGGCCAGACCTTACCACCCCAAACCTCGGGCGGAGGAGGGGGAATGAGTGGAGGGGGCACTTTGGGGAGAAGTAAAGGGAAAATGATGTCAGCTGGGGGTCCTGGAGGCCCCAACCCCAAGAGCCAATCCAAGGGCGCCCCCAAGGTGAATGGTAACAACTCAGGAGGGCAAGGAGGATGGTGGCCCGAGTGCACCTGTTCCAACCGGGACTGGTACGACCAGGTAAATGCCGTTTCTGGGCCGCTGGGGGCATCGAGAGTAGGCAGCAGGCGGTAGGCAGTTGGTGTGTGTGGTTGCTAGGTCGAAACTAAGTGGAATCAGCAAGCTCCCCTGTAGCTTCTAGATTCTAGAAGATACATATTTTTTTTAAGGGATTCATCCAGTGTTGATCCTTTCATACTGCATGTGCTGTAATCTTACAGTATGCCTGTCGAGATTGATTCTCGCAGAGAGGGAGTTTAATCTTCATGTATTTACTGCTCCATCAGTGCTTTATGGCTTCATCAATCCCATACATACATACTTATCTAAACCGTCATCTGACAAGGATTGACAGGGCCACTGTGACCACGCAACAAGTGTATAGCTCTGCCAATTTAATCAAAGGATGGCAGTGACCTGCCAACGCTGCTGACCAGGCAAAACACATCATCAAATGTTATATCCAGTTAGTAATGGATTCTTTTTCTAGATTGCTGAGATGACGATGTGGATATTTTATGAATCTGATGATATGTGTGCATTTTCTTATTCATGTGCAGTCTGTCGTTCTAGTCGCCGATTGAGATACAGCCAGAGGCGAGGCGACTTATGAAGTATAATGTACACTTCTTGTCCGTGACCATTTCAGATAGATTTTAACCTCATAGAGCAGAGCGTATCAAACCGAACCAGGGAACAGAAGCTGTAATTAAGTGTGGTGTGTGTGTGTGTGTGTGTGTGTAAGTGGCAGCAGGGGTGGGGGAAGGGTCGATCTGAATGTATAAAATGGAGGAAGCAGGCTCTTGTGTGAGAACAAGCCTGCATGCATGCTCTGTGCCTTCAATGTGTGTGCATGGCTACGATGTGGGGGTGTGTGCGAGTGCACAGGTTTTTATTGGTATTTGTGCATGGCAGAGGGAGAGAGAATGCAGCGAGAGTGGTGGAGACGCAGAGAAAATGGAGGGTGAGATCTCGGTGGCAGCGAGGGTGAAAATTCACCAAGCACAGGGAGGGAAGGCGTGAGCAAGGAGCTGACTAATTCTGCCTCTGTTCAGAGGATGGGAGAGGCATCAGTCAAAAGCAGTGCGGTTTTTCACTCATTCGCTTTTGTTTTAATAATGAATTATGCATGTGTTCTTGGCAGCATTTGCTGTACACCAAATAAATGAACCCTTAATATGTGACATTTCCTGCTTATTCCTTCTTTCTGTGATAATTCCATTCTCATTTTTTGATGTATGACATGCAGCAATGTGAAATAAATTAAGCATATATCTTCTCTTGTGCGCCGCATGCAATACCTGATAGGCACGAGCACTCCTAGGGCATATTGATGGAGTGTATGTTTAATTAATGAGAAGGAAATTGTTTAACGGAGGTATATAGGACAACGACACTATTAAAGCTTCTCGTATGTGAGGAGACCATGGATCATCTTTGCTGGTTTCTACTTCTCTGGCCAGGCTGTTACCTGTCAAGATTATTAAAGAAGTTTTAGTTATCTTTCAAGGCCTCGTGGTTGTTTTTTCATTTGCAAAGTCTAATGCTGCTGAGCTAATTATGAATGAATTTCGTTGAGCAGTAAAAAGGGCGTCGAATGTTCGTCATTTTTGGCTGTAATCACAAAGACACATGATAGTGGTGGTATAGAGGTGAAAGTGCTAATGTGGAAAAGAGAGGAATCAGCCAATGAAGACAGGCGGGCTTAGGAAGCAGAGTGGGTTACATAAGAGAAGGCAGTTGGCGGAGCCGCAAGAAGAGACACTTTGAAAGAGAAGCTGTGGATTTGTGAGCTATGGTTTGGCACCCCACTTTCTGTACGGGCACATTCAAATGTTTTAGAGCTTTACACTATATAAACACAGTCATATCTGCTGAACACAAATAAATCGCTGGTGAAATCATGTAGAAGTTTCCCATTTGTTTTGTGGAAATTACAGATATGTTTCTTGGCACTCTGCTTTGTGCTTTAATTGTGAAGTGTGTAGTTTTTGCACCCCTAGCATCAGCAAACTGAAAAATAACTGTTTCTAACAGGTTTCCCGAGCACTGTCTGTCTTCCATTGGGCTTGTTGATGGTTGAGCTAATGTAGCTGTGCTCAGGCAAATAATGTTGAAAGATTCTAAAATCAACATTGATTTTCTGAGTGAAACCTATAGTGCAGGGGTGGGGAACGTTGATCCTGGATGCCCACTGTCCTGCAGAGTTTAGCTCAACACTAATCAAACACACCTGAAGATAATCAAGGTCTTCAGAATTACTGAAGTTGCAGGAAGCTGAATGTTTTTTTCAGGGTTGGAGCTAAACTCTGCAGGACAGTGGCCCTCCAGGATCAACGTTCCCCACCCCTGCTATAGTGAATGAAAGAATTATTTTGTTCATCTATACTTAATTTTTGATTGGATTGTGAAAAGTTGATGTTATTTAAAAGAACGGAACTAGAAGTTTGGGTAAGTGTGGTTTAAAACGGTAGAGATTATGAAGACAGGCATTTTTTTTCCCTTTGGAATAATGTGCAGTGCCGAATCATGCACAGTCTTCTTGTCTCTAGGCACGTTTTTTTTTTTTTTTTTTTTTATCATTTTTTTATGGCAAGTCTTATGGCTATGATTAGTGTTAAATAAATAACCTTTCATCCTTACATCATTCATCACAAGAGGTTATTTTACATTTCAAGTTATGTGCTTGTGTAAGTGATTGAAGGTATCTGTTGCATCTGTTGCAAGGTGTTGCATAGTACTTTTGTTACTACTGCTGGATGCTTTTCTATTGTGATTCTGTCAAAGTTTTTCCCTTGAGATGTTAATGATCAAGGGACCGCTCCTTATTTATTTAAGGGGCCAGCGGAGGAGATTTGAGATCTGTAGTCAAAAAAAGACTTGACCCTTACTTCGCCAGGGTCAAGACCCTCCTCTTGACCCTCCTCTGTTTGGAAGTCGTGATTACTCCGACTTCCAAACAGATGGAAATGGACAAATACTCTTAATGTTTCAATCCAATTTGTCTTGTAATGCTACCCGAATCACACACTGTTCCTTCATTGGCCAGAGGAGAACTAGCCCCCAACTGAGCCTGGTGGTTTCTCCCAAGGTTTTTTTCTCCATTCTATCACCTGATGAAGTTAGTTCATGTTTTCGGTGCTGATGCAGTGGTGACGCGTTCATGTAAAATATAAGGGTGGCGCTGCCAATAAAGTATCTTAAAGCTGCCACAAAAGGGCCGGCAAAAGTAATGATTCTGAATAATATAGCAAGGGGACATTTTAATTGTTTATTAATAAACAAGTCTTTGTCAGTGTCGGCTGCAAATATAAAGGTGATGATGCTGACTCCCGATCTTCGCAGTAGTGAACGCGCTAGAGAGAAATGCACTTTTCATAACATTACATAAGCAGAGAGCAGTCTGTAGTCTGTTATCTTTTGTTTTGAATTGTTCTGTTAAAAAGTAGACATGTCAAGCTTTCTATATATTTATCAGGTCTGTGAGGCAAGTACGCTGAGTTTTGGTTCATTTATTAGTCGAGAGTCCAGTTCACGCGCAGATGCCTCCGTGTCATGATGATTTTTTACTATATTTACTTCTTATTTATTAAATCCAGGCAATTGGTTGATGAAACATTGATTAAAATTAAGATACAATTCATAAAAAACGAAATTCTCTTTAAAGAAAGGCTTTGTGCTTTCTTTTTGAGGTCTCGGTGAAAGGTTTAAAGTCACTTTCAGAGCGGCGTAATTGAGAACTGTTTTTGTCTTTCTTCTGTGGATTTCTTCAGCTCCTTATTGGTCAAAATCGACAAATCGGCTCATTCAACTGCACAGCGCACACACCTCACGAATTCGAACTTTTTAGACATGTTTAAACATTATTGTGAGGTTGAGAGGTTCGGCTCAGCTCATATCTTCCTAGCACATGACACAAGCCGCAACATTTAAGCACAACCGATTTCCACGTGATTTCTCTTGAGTGAAAAAAAAATTCATCTGCAAGCTCTTAAAACAGTAAAAAACAATCACACTGTGTAAGCCCGCCTTAAGGGAGTATGAATATATAAACAGATGTTTCAGTATTAAATGCATTTTATGAGAATTTATATTTCAAGTTTTGACTGCAAATGTCACATCCATAAAGCTTGAATTGTCCAATTTTAAAGAATTTATACTCAACTATTTTTTTTTTTTTTTGGTGTATAGGTCTAGTATTTGCTCGTGCTTTAAAGCTTTGCCGGGTAAACATTTCATTGGCGCTCTGTTCTAATGCACTTTTTCTGAGCACATAATGAAGTGCACACGCACTGTCAAACAGTGCCAAACTGGATTTTTGTTGGGTCAGACCCATCTGATTGCAATGGGGGGCTGAGATGGAGAGAGGTATAGCTACATGGAAAAAATATGCACCAGGCCACTTTGAAATTTAGCTGTTTTGATGAATACAAAAGTTGGGTGACCCTCCCCTCAACAAAGAATAAAAAGACATGACCCTCCCCTATTTTCTTCCGGTTTGCCTACTGTATATACTAAAATACTGTCCACGTCCACACTCACAGTTGCATGTCCATCAGTGTGCTCAGGAACTGTGTTCATTACATACAAGTATGTATGTACTTGAAGAAGTCTGTTGGGACAAAGGAGTAGATTTTAAGTGAGACTATACTCCTCAGATGCTCAGCTCTTACCCTGAGCTGCAATACAGATAGCCTCCATCTTAGAGAGGAAGCGTTTGCATCATATCAAGAAGGATTTTGTTTTTGTTAGCGCATCCTTGTAGCTGCTAAACATATGGACTGAAAGGCTGAAATGCTGGAAGTGAGATTGAAATGTATGTGACAAGATGTTTCCTAGTTTCATTACAATTAGAGAGACTCAAAAAGGCAAATGGATGCTGTTTTTGTAACTGCTCATTTTCTCATTCATAAAGCCAACCATTACTATAGAGATGAATCATTGATCAGTATATCGTGGAGGTGGGGGGTGCTTAGGGGGTGTATTCTGTGCTCATGTGATCTCAGCAGTAAGCCAAGTTC